GCAGATGAACCTTTGGGCTGTTTTTTTATTATACTACCAGTTTCTCGGTCTTGGTTTATTTTGGAAAGTGGAGATTATGATGCTTTCCCCTTAGTTGATGTTAGACTTGCAGGAAGAAACCTATGGCAGTGTCGTGAGCCATGTTCTGCTTAACTGCTATTATTTAGTATTTTCCATTTGCCTTGGGCAGGATTCCCAGGACAGCTCAGATGGAATACCATCAGCACCACGCATGACTGGCAGTTTGGTGTCTGACCGGAGCCACGACGACATTGTCACCCGGATGAAGAACATTGAGTGTATTGAGCTTGGCCGGCACCGCCTCAAGCCGTGGTACTTCTCCCCGTACCCACAAGAGCTTACCACGCTACCTGTCCTCTACCTGTGCGAATTTTGCCTCAAATATGGCCGTAGCCTCAAGTGTCTGCAACGCCACTTGGTATGAGGGGTCTTGGGAGGCTGCCTACCCAGTGTAGCCTCACCAGTCCCCACCTGATCCTCCTTTTGTCCTTAGACCAAATGTGATCTTCGGCACCCTCCAGGCAATGAAATTTACCGCAAGGGCACCATCTCCTTTTTTGAGATTGATGGACGGAAAAACAAGGTCAGTGGCTTGGACATGGGGCTGGAATAAGTCATATGAACAACCTTTTCCTGCTCAGAACAGTTGACCACTCTGGCTATATATCAGTTCACTGTTTGTACTGAATTCCTGACGTAGAGCAGGGGAATGCACAGAATACTGGGATTTAGACAAATTCTCTGAGAGGTCATTGTCTATGGCAGAAGCAGACATACCAGCTATTCAGTTCCCAGTATGAGGAGTGTCTGGAAACAAGGCTGGGTTAGCAAAGTGCAGAGGAAACTGTCATCAGAGCTTGGAGATGTGTATGCCTATAATCCAATCCCACCACTCAGAAAACTCCTGAGTTTAAGATTAGTCTGGGCTGTAATGAGTTCCAAACCAACCTGAGCTATAAAGTGAAAAAGACCTATCTCAGGGATCCAAAACAAACAAAAACAAAAAACAAAAAAAGTAAGGCAGCAAAGGTTAAATATAAAATTAGAGGCAGTTAAGAACAGTTTGGCCCAGCATGGTGGTGCATCTAGAATCACAGCATCAAAGAAGCTGATGCTAGAGGAGCTGACGTTCAGGGCTAGTCTGAACTACAGAGTAAGAGCCTTTCTCAAAACCAAGTTCTAAAAAGGATCTTTGGGTGTGCTGGTATATCTTTTATTCCCAGCACTCAGGAAGCAGAAGCAGCCAGGTCTCTTGGTGTTCTATAGGGAGTTCCAGGCCAGCCAGGCTAATATAGTCAGATCTGTTTTGAAATAGTTTGCAGGTTAACCTGTGAGCCTGGACATGACAGAGAGAACATATTTAGACAGTTCTAAGCATTTGGGTTCAGAGATGCAGGCACTGATATACCAGGAAGTGCATGCAGAAAGGAAAAGGAGAGGTGATGAGGCAAGGTCAAAGGTCAGGTGACAGGCACAAGATCAGTGGAGAGGAGCAGGTTTGGGTTTCTTTAGGTGACAAGTGTGGAGGTCCTTGAGATACACTTTTTAAGGCCTCCAGGGTACGGAGGGAGAGAGGCAGATAGCCGGATTGGTTTGGGAGCTTACCTTGAAGAGCTACTTCAAGAGGAAGACACAAAGTCCCACATTAAGTGTGGTGTTTGAGCTGATAACCAGCAGTTGCAAAGCTGTCTAGAAGCTTCCTCTAGAAGTCACGTGTGAGAAGGCAGCCAGCCAGTCCAGAGTTTTGTAGAGAAAATCCCTAAGGCTGGCAGTTCGTTAAATCTCCACTGGAGGCTAGCAGACCATTTCCCAGGATCATTGTGGCTACAGCATTAGGGGTCTGACTCCCAGACTCGAAGAACAGCCATATGGGTAGAACTTCTCTCCTGACACTGCTGAGTCCATTTGGAAACTTAAACAAAACAACTAGTTGACTGATTTCAAAGCTGTACCTGCCTCTGCCTCCTAAGTGCTGAGGTTCTAGGTATATACTACCATTCCTGGCTTGGAAATGTTGTTGACTATTGTTAAGTTGAACAGAGGGCAATGCAGGCCCAGGGGAGGCTTTGCTGGGTATGTGGAAGCTATACAGCTCACCGAGGGGCAGGCAGTTGGACATTAGTATGTGGGCTCCTGATCACTGAAGTAGTGCTTACCTAAGCAGTGCGATACTCTGACTGGTGGGGTGGGTCAGGGTCCTGGGAGGGACACTCAACCCTCTCATCTGGAACAGCACAAAGAAGTGTCCCTCAGAGCCCTGAGATGGCTCAGTGGGTAGAAGTGCTTGTCACTCAAGTCTGGCCACCCGAGTTCACTGTAGAACCCATGGTGGAAGGAGAATGGACTCCCAAAGGTCCTAGACTGTCATGTCATGTTGTATATAGGCACATTGCAGTCCCAAGTGTACAGTCAAATGTAACTCTTTGAACAGTTCCCAGAGTATTGACTGGCAGGTCTTTTCCTTACAGAGTTACTCACAAAACCTGTGTCTTCTGGCCAAGTGCTTCCTGGACCACAAGACACTGTACTACGACACAGACCCCTTCCTCTTCTACGTGATGACGGAGTACGACTGCAAAGGCTTCCACATCGTGGGCTACTTCTCCAAGGTCAGCACCCACCCAGACTGTCCCTGTGCTACCCTGAGCCTGGTCTTCTTTAACCCACCTACTCTTATTCCAGGAAAAGGAGTCCACAGAAGATTACAATGTGGCCTGCATCTTGACTCTGCCTCCCTATCAGCGCCGGGGCTATGGCAAGCTGCTCATTGAGTTCAGTGAGTATGTACTACCTGGCCTGGAGGCTGGGGGGCTGGCAGACCATGCCTATGTGGGTATGCTTTACATGCAGACAAACCAGTCCCCAGGAGAGCCACCAGGAATAAAGGGATACTCTGCCAAGGTCCTTTCCTCAGTTGACTTCCCTGTTTCCTGGAGTAGGTTCCCAGCATCCACTTGTCTTTGGGTAAAGGCCTGTGAGCCACCCAACTTTTCCCAGACGGGAACCGTGTATCCCCATCTGGAGCTGAGCAAGCAGCTCGGGCAGCTCCTCATGTCCATCTTCGATGTGTACCCTAGAAAGTTTCATCAGGGATCACTGGTTATGTCACCAAGGATGCCTGAGCCTTGCAGGCAGTGGGTGTTCAGAAAGATAGACTTTTATCCTGCTTCTTTGTAAGGCCAGTCTTTGAAAACCCAAGTGGGCTCTGGCCCCCTTTGAGGACATGGACTCTTAACTCTGAAATGACATTGTTCCCTGCTGTGCTAGTCCACCTGTCCCCATTCCTTTGTTTAATCATTCTCTGACATTCTCAGTCTGCAAAGAAGCTTTAGCTTTTTTGTTGGTGAAAACACAGATGTCTGATTTGTTCAAAGTCATCTGTTTGGAGCATCTTACTGATTAGAGCAGGTGAAAGGAAATTCAAAGGGCAAACCAAGAAGATGTGCCTACTTTTGCCTAGTAGGACACAGAAATGCCAGCAGATCAATAAAAGGGTAGGAAGACAATCATTGTACACGGTTCCTAACTACAGAGGCAATTATGACATCCAGTGGATTTGTGGGACCGTCGACTGTGGGGATCCAGTAGCTGTCTTCCCTTTCTGGGCTTCCTCTTCCCAAACACCAGCCTCTCCTGCCCCTCCCTCCAAGGGTGTTTGAGCAAGGAGCAGAGAATGTCAGGGGTCATTATGAGGTCATAGGTGAGGGTAAAGAAGGGTGTCTCCAAAGTAATAGGGACCTTCCCCGGGCCCTGTCAGCTCTGTGGGCCTAAAGGTCTCAGGAACTGTCTGTGTGGCAGTGCCTAGTGGTCAACACAAGGGAAAGGGTCACCAAGGGTCAGGTACCTGGCTCTGTCTTTTCCTATTGTCATTAACCACCCACCCCATTCTGCTAAGAGCAGCTGACACTCCCAGGCTCACAGCTAGTTAAGCTGATGACACTGAAAGGGTTCCCATGTCCTCAGACCACAAAGGGCTCCCTCACTACTGCCACACACCCAGACACAGGCAGTGGAGAATATAGCACTCTCGCCCCATCAGCCTTCACTGGATGACAAGTACCCAACCATAGCTGCTCTTCCAGCCGCCTTTGGCTCCCCTACAAGGCAGGCAGGGAAGCTGCTGACCCATCACCAAAAGTAAGTGGGAGACAGAGCCAGGTAGCCCAGCTCCACAGTCCCTCTTCTTACGTGCCGCGGTGTACACGTGACGCTTACTCTGCCTCTTGTGCTCCATTGCTTTAGGCTATGAACTCTCGAAAGTAGAAGGGAAAACAGGAACTCCTGAGAAACCCCTGTCAGATCTTGGCCTCCTATCTTACCGAAGTTACTGGTCCCAAACCATCTTGGAGATCCTGATGGGGCTGAAGTCGGAGAGCGGGGAAAGGCCACAGATCACCATCAAGTGAGCCCAAATGCCCACCTGGGGGTTTGTGGTATATCCTGTCTGTTCTTGAGGTTTCTGGGGACAGATGAATACCCTCAGGGGACTTAACTCTCCCCCCACCCCCATCCCCACAGTGAGATCAGTGAAATCACTAGTATCAAGAAAGAAGATGTCATCTCCACACTGCAGTACCTCAACCTCATCAATTACTACAAGGTTAGGAGGCGTGCTTAGGGGATAGGTGAGGGTACGGGATGCAGGCTCTGAGCTGACCATGAGCTGGGTCTATCTCTTGCTCAGGGCCAGTACATCCTAACGCTGTCAGAGGACATCGTGGATGGACATGAGCGGGCCATGCTCAAGCGGCTCCTTCGGATCGACTCCAAGTGTCTGCACTTCACTCCCAAGGACTGGAGCAAGCGAGGGAAGTGGTGACACACACTACCCATGCAACACCAACGTGGCTGGCAGCCTATCTTGCCCCATTTGAGCTTCGACGAGGCATGCAAAGGGAAACAGGCTGAAGGACAGACCCAAAAAGAGAGGAGGAGCCAACTAGTGGCCAGTACCAAGGCAAGCTCAGGTCTAGGCCAACTCCAAGGATAGCTGGTTTATTGGCCCAGGTCCACTCTGAACGCGGACCAGAGGGATCCAGGCAGCTGTGTACATTGAGATGGGTGGGGAGCATTCTGTACAGGACTGCTGATTGTAAAAATTTCTTTTATAAAGGAGGAGCTGGAGGGTGGGGTGGGTGCTGGCTGCAAAGTTCTGGCCCCTCTTGCCCCCAGAAATAAATTGTTTATATAGGCAGAGCTATCAGGAGTTCTTGCCAGACTGGGTGCCATGAAATGCCAGCTTCAGGGTCCTAAGGTGCCCACAGACTCATAGGCACTGTGAAGATCTCATTTATTGGGATAGAAACAGTGGCTCCAAAGTGGTGTGAAGGGTTCTGTGACTTTCATTTTCATTCTCTGGTTCTCAGTCCTCGGGCACCTGTGCGTGAATCTGCAACAGGAGTCACTTCTACTTTGTGATTTATAATACACAGCAGTTGGGTGGGGACCCAGATGCTCAGGGTGATAGCCTGAGAGAAAAGCAGGGAATGCTTCCCACCACTCCTTAGTCTGGACCTTCGGAGCCATGATCCCCGTGGTGTTTATTGCCCCCAAACCCCCAAATCACTAGAAACACGACTCGAAGCGCGTGGGAGAACCGACTAAGCCTGAGGGGAAAAGTGCCCATGAGTATACGTACCGCTGCAGCAAGGCTGGGCCAACCTAGGGCCCTACGCACTTTGGCATCTGGACCAGGGACCGTTTCCAGACCCCACAAGGTGAAGTGGCTGAAGCTGCCGGTGGCTCCGATAAAGCGGTCCTGGAAAAGGCCGGGTTCAGAATCGGGACGGCAGCTACTGCTCTCATCCCGAACCTACCATCTCCCTCTGCTCACCAAATCCCTCTCTAGTGGCTCCTGTGCCTCGTCCGTTTTTTCCTCCACGTCCGCTGAGAAGTTTAGCTTCCCTATCAGTCCCTCTCCCATCTCCTCTGTCGCCATCACGAATCCCGCAAACCCTGGCGGCACAGCTACCTCCTCGCCCCGCAGGCCGCGACCGCGAAACGACACCTGCAGCCCTACAGGGGGAACATGCAAAGCCATCAGGCCGGCCTGGCCCCGGGAGAATGTATCGGCGGCCTCTTCCGCGGACCACGAAGCCCGAGAACCGCGAGGCCTGCCCGGACTCACCGTCAGCATCGCGGCGGACGGCGGGCGTGAAGAAGCGTTCTACTGGGGCGGGCCGGCTGACCAGAATGTCACAGGGCAGGAGGTGCAGCTCGGCCGGTGCGGCGCCACGCAGGGAGCCAGGGCGCAGGTGAATACGCTGTTTCCCGTCCGCCGCTTCCTCCGGATTCTTCATCTCAGATACTTGTAAGCTCAGGCAAAAGCTGGCGGGTGAGGAACGCAGGGCCTGTCGGGAGACCGAGCACACTAAATGCAGAGCCTTATGGGAATCGTAGTCTTCCTCTGGCTGCTCTCTGTAAGGACACACCTTCCTGTGGTCAAGTCTTTATGTGTGATCTCATCCTTGTGCCTCCACTTCCCTGTGCTGGGTTTTAGCTTGTGCCCACCAAACCCTAATATTTTTATGGTTCTTGTTGTTTGAAAGTAAACAAACAAACAAACAAAAAACCAAAAAAACTAAAGGTACTCCTAAAAGAGTCCTATTTATATAGGTTGTCTGATAAACTAATTTTGATGGTGATGAGAATTGAACTCAGGGCCTTGGACATATTAAGAATGTGCTCTAGAACTACCATCTTGTAGGGAAAAAGGGTCAAAGAAAGAACAACACCAGGCCCCTGACTTGACTCTAAGACCAGAGTAAATGTTACAGCTCTGAGGAGAAAGGTTGAGAGCCAAAAATACTACAAAAGCATATCCTATAACAAACCTCACATAAGAGAGCTATTGGAAAAGACACAGGTGGGAGGGTGGCTGTCTCTGCTCAGAAGAGAAGCAGCAAAGAACTGAGCAGGAGGCAGGCTTTATGCAGGATTTTTGGAGGTGGGGCAGCACTATCCAGAGTGGTCTGAGAATTGAGGGATTTTACAACCTGATATTGCGGCAGGCTCAGGGATTGATGCAATTTGTGGCTTGATCTTGGGTGAATTTTGTTTTTTTCTGTAAGACAGGGTCTGGCTACTTTCCAGTGGGGCTGGACGTAATGATTAGAGAAGTCTTGCAGGCAGGGCTTAGCTGCTCAAGCCTCAAGGGGAACACCCTCTGCCCCTGGCCTGTCTACATGCCATAAGGTTGGAAATTCCAGCCCCCTTGACAGCAAACAGTGTTTCCAAATTGGTCTCCAAGCAATACTTCCAGCTGGGCTGTACTTTTCCACCAGCTCACACTGCACATGCCCCACTAGCTCACTGCACATGCTCTACCAGCTCATTGCACATGCTCCACCAGCTCACACTGCACATGCTCCACCAGCTCACACTGCACATGCTCCACCAGCTCACTGCACATGTCCTACCAGCTCACACTACACATGCTTGAAAAACCCTAAAAAACCTTCCCATTGCCCCCCACTCTGCTGTCTTCCTGTTCAGAGGCAACTGCTATTCTATTTTTCTCCCCAATAAATCTCTTTTGTGAAGTTTGTTGCGTGGTGTGACTTTGTGGTATTAGCTGGCTCCTGATTACCAAGATACCCTTGTGTTGGAATAACACTTTTAAACCCCAGACCAGGTTATTTGTTTTTAAAATAATGGCCATCAATCCATTTTTCCCCTCAAATGCATTTTTCTATGTGACTTATCTTGCAGAGCTTTGTATATGTATAGTGATTCTTGCTGTAAAGAAAACTTTTTATAGTCACACTTTCTTTTGATTTTGTTGTTGTTTTGTTGCTGTTTTGTTTTTTGTTTTTAGAAACACAGTTTCTCTGTGTAGCCCTGGCTGTCCTTGAACTCACTATGTAAACCAGGCTGGTCTCAAACTCTGCCTGCTACTGCCTCTCACGTGCTGGGCATAAAAGCACACACCACCATGCTTGGCTTTCCTTCTTTGGGGGAGGTGTGTGTCATGGAGCCCTATGGTGGTCAGAGCACTACATGTGAGAGGTTGTCTTCCCTTCCACCATGTAGGTTCTGGGTTCTCAAACTCAGATCATCAAGATTGGCACAAGCGCCTTCCCCTGGTGAGCTCTCTTGCCAGCCCTTGTAGTCAGTCTGCACACTTCCTCATGTCTCTTGCTTTTAAATGCTGTTTGTTTTTCATCTCTTCTCTGCTGCTTATAGGTTCAGACACCCAACATTGAAATGTGTCATCGACTTCTTCCCCAAAACAAATATAAAACTAGAAATGTTGGTCTGATGCACTATAGACATAAAAAGAGAAGAGCATTGCTGGACAGTCAGATATTCTATACAGACATTAAGTTTAGATTTTAATTGCTTGGAGCTGGAGAGATGGCTCAGTGGTTAAGAGCACTGACTGCACTTCCAGAGGTCCTGAGTTCAAATCCCAGCAACCACATGGTGGCTCACAACCATCTGTAATGAGATCTGATGCCCTCTTCTGGTGTGTCTGAAGACAGCTACAGTGTATTCATATATAATAAATAAATAAATCTTTTTAAAAAAGATTTTAATTGCTTACCCAGATACCTGAAGAATGGTATTTACCGTTTCTAGTAATTTTCAATTTTTTTGGCTCTTGTCTTTCAAATAGTAAGGAGTAAAATAAAAATAAAGTAAATGCTTTATTACATTTGTAAGTTTTCTCTAACATCACCACTATTCAGTTCAGCATATATAACTTCACCAGCACGGGATGAAGCCACTTTCTGTTTTAGGAGGACAAAACACAAATGGGACCATTCCACAGTCATGGTTCAACATTGACTGTGTATAAGCACTGTTCAAATTACAAACATAAGCAGGCTTCTCTTTCTAGTGACAGTGGGTGATGCCCCTTTACTAACTACAGCAGTCACCTCCATCTAGTCCCCTGTCCAGTTAGGATTTGTTGAGATATTCTATCATAGGGCCTTGGGCGTGTGTGTGTTGTGTGTGTGTATGTGTGTAAAGGTGCAAGTACACCAGGGCTACACAGGAGGAAACCCTGTCTGAAAACAAAAGCAAACAAAACAAACAAAAAACCCAGCCACACAAATGAGTGAGCAAGCATGAGTGTGTTCCAGTAAAATGGTTTGCAGATGCAGGCAGTGGGCTAGGTCGGCCCTATCAGCTGAAACGGTCGGATCCTTCTCTAGAGCAATGCTGTTGTTGTTGATACATTCATTTCCCGTGGGGACCTGCCAGGTTCTTTTATTGCTCTTGATGATTTTCATTTTGTGTTCCTGGATTTCCCAGAATTAGTCTTTTCACTTTCAGATGATAATTTTGCCTCTCGTTACATCCTGAGATTTCTTTTCTAACTATCCTAACTAGCACTTCCAGAAGAATCTAAGAAATTATTGGTATTATGAACAACATTTTCTATTTTCTGGAATTTTAATGGAAATTCTTCTACAAGCTTGATAATCATGAAGCTACCATTTTAAATGTCTTGTTAAAGCTATGTTATTTAACCTGTGCACATGTGCACACACAAGCTATGCTACTGAGTTGTGGTTTTTGTTTTGTTGGGGTTTTTTTTCCTTGCTTGTTTTAATCAGAGGGTTATGTTAGATTCTGTGGGAGGGGGTGTGTGTAGGTGACACAGATTTCAACCCCAGGTGGCGTTCCTAAGGAACCATGCACCTGGTTTTTGAGACAGGAACTGTTGAGTTAGAGTCGAGTCCAGCAGCTAAGAGTGTACTGTCCCTTCGAAGATGTGAGTTCAGTTCCTGGCACCTATGTTAGGCACCTCATAGTGCCTGTTTCTCCAGCTCCAAGGAATCCAACCCCTCTGGCATCCTCGGGCATCTGCACATGCATGGGAGCACACTACACACACACACACACACACACACACACACACACACACACACACGTATACATAATTAAAAACAAAATATTAAGAGAGAGAGAAAGAAAGAGAAATGGGCATTCTCTCTCATAGGCCCAAAACTGAGCTGATTAAACAATCCAGATTACCCAACATGGCAACCTGCATGCTGAGGAAGCAGAGGACTTGGTCATTCCGTAAAGCTGGGTATCTCCTTCCACAGCACCATTCTGGTGCTGACAGCCTGCAGTTTCCTGGAGAGTTCAGTGGTGAGTCCTGGTTGAAAGGCCTAAGAGGCTGGAGTCTGAGTAGCGTCAGCAGAACTGATGCTCTGGGGGAGTGAATGGAGACAGATGGCCCGGGGAAGAAGGTGCTGCCCCTAAAGTGAGTGCTCCCTACCTCCCCTCTCTGGAGCCACCATGGCCCACACATTGGAAGGTGTGTCTACTAGGTGACTGTGGATGTCAGAGGACATCTTTCAGGAGTCTCTCCTCCCACCTTGTGGGTTCTAAGAATTGAACTCAGGTCATCAAGCTTAGTCACAAGCATTTTCTTATCCTTTGAGCCATCTCACCAGCCCAGTAGTCTACCTGTATTACTTGCTATATTGTATAAACTTTTGAATTACTTTGTTGGTATAAAAATAACAAGTTTTAATGGGCACTTTAATCCCAATACTCAGGAGGTAGAGACAGACAGATCTCCAAGTTTAAGGCCAGCCTGGTCTACAGGGCAGGTTCCAGGACAGCCAGGGCTACACAGAGAAACCCTGTCTCTAAAAAAAAAAAAAAAAAACAAAACCCCAAACAAAACAAACAAGGAAAGCAAACACCACCAACACCCCTGGAGAGACGGCTCAGTGGTTAAGCGCACTGGCTGCTCTTCCAGAGGTCCCAGGTGTAGAGCTACCTCTGTGCCAACAACCGAACCCACGTCCTTTGCAGCAGCCGCCATTGCTCTTCCTATTGAAACGTCTCTGTAGCCCCATGGAGTAAGTTCTTTATCAAAATGAGGAACTGAAAAGTTCCTGACCTAGTTTGCTGAGAGTGGTTTTGTTTTTGAACCATGACTAGTGCAGGGCTTTGCCGGTTTCTCCACGTGTTACTATCATCCACGAGCAGTGTGGTTTTCAATCTTCCTCTGCGATCCTTTAATACAGCTCCTGTTGTGGTGACCCTCACACATAAAGTTATTTTGTTACTATTTCAAAACTGGAATTCTGCTACTCTTACGAATCGTAATGTAAATATCTGACTTGTGACACACACACATCCCCGTTGCAACCCACATGGTGAGAACTAATGCTGTAGTATCTCTCCTGCAAAGTGTTCTTAAGATAATTATATTAATTTTTTTGTTTATTTCTTTTTGAGACAGTGTCTCATTAAATAGTCCTGACTGGCCTCAAACTCACTAGGTAGAGCAGGCTGGCCTTTAGTTCACAGAACTGTGGGTTCTGCTTACCTCTGTCTCAAGCGCTGGGATTAAAGGTGTTTGGTCTCAGAG